ACATAGTTTGTTACAACCGTACGAATAACCTTTCCCCATTAATTTGACAAATACACTGGTAAAACTAATAGGTCAATAGTCACTAAGACTCAACTCCCCACCAACTAAATCAAACAGACAAATTCGTCCTTCCAGTCTAATGAGATTTTAGGCTGCTCAGAGGACAAAATAATTAACGACAGTATATTCTGAAAATAATGATAACAGAATACATGCCAGTTTACAGGCATGATCAGTTTGATATAAATAGTAACATTAAATATAAAGAACACACATGTGATACGATATTGTTTAAATGTTATTGGTTCAAAAATTGTCCGAGCAGAACATTTATGACATGTATTGCAGCAACCCAATGCATCGGCCGGGATCAACTGACTAATGATCTCAACTATTAAAATTACTATAATATCCACAAAAACGCTTTCTGACATTCATCAACATTAGCTCACTAGTGATTGGCTTCAAGATGTGTTTACTGGAGCCCCAAAGAGAAGCAGTGACCAGTGGGGTTCAACCGGGTCTGCTGTGAGATAGTAACTCATTGAAGATAATGGTGGATGTGTTGCTCAATTTTGTGGATCGGTTTAAGTTGGACATTAACACCTTTGAGTGCCGGCTCAGTGGTCTAGAGGTTAAGCGCTCTCGTGCAAGGCAGGATAGTGGATGCGCACTGCTGAGGAGTCCCATAATATGACGAAACGACCGTCCAGTGCTTCCAGGTTTTCCATGGTTGTCTAGCTTCAATTGACTAATAAACGCAATTATTAAAATCACTATAATATCCACAAAAGCTCCTTGTGATATTAATCCTGGAATGTCGATATTATCTTGATATTGAACACTCGTTAAAAAATTTCGTCGTTCGTCCGACACTTGAACTATCTTAAAGAATGTAAATGGTCGAGGTTCAATATTTTTAGTCGATCCCCCTACTTATGCTCATCAATTGATTTGCTTGAACCCCTCTAGAGATTTCCTGTAAGATGCCATGAATAAATGTTTCGAATGTTTCCAATTTATGGCGTATCTCATTATTGGATCGTGGTCGTTTGTTGCTATAGATATTTGGTGAGATCAAACCTCATACAGCCATTCTAGGTTTGGGCAGAGTCTTATGTAGGAACTCTGGCACAGTATTCTTCAGTTTAAAATGGTAGACTGTGAAAAAACAAACAACTAAGCGGGCTCTTTCTTCGGGGCTCGCTTTCTTCTTTTGCTACAAAACTCCCGCATATTTTCAGTCACTCGGGACAACAGATTGGGACTTCTCGGGACCGCAACTGTTTTATCCGTGTCTTGATATGGTAATTTGTGATTGCAACAAACTACATCTTATATCACTTTTTCATGTCTGTAGGTACCCCTCATTCTATTGATAAGAGAAATCAGACTAGTAGCGGACAGGTCTTTATTTAGCTCGTGAGTGGCACACAGTGGAGGGTGAGGTTACGTGTTCAAACACACGAATCTTTTCAACATTTAATATAAAACAATAGGAAATATGATTTCACTACAAAATAAGAAAGTGAATGAATATTTGAGCTCTATGGTTTTAACATACACTTAACCAATCAACCTACGTTGTAACGACTTAACTTTTGTTTGTTCCAAAAGAGATTTCCCTGTTCAACGTTTTATGGCCAGGTATTTCGCTTCTTCTGTAAATATACTTTTTTTTACTTGCATGTCCTTCGCTATCAGCACTCAGTTTGCCAGTGCAGCCAGAAGGATTGTCGCCTCTTCGGTCAGTAATGTCTTATTCGAACAGTAAAACATAAGAAGCAGGTGGGAATTAGGTTTCAAATATCTGCTTTGCGCAATGGGTTTCAAATAAGTACACACCCTGAGGAACCCGTTGTTGTATTCATCACATCAACCTTTTTTGTTCGCAGGAAAGAAATAGTTGGGTTGTTCACATTTATAAATAAAGCCGACCACTGTAAGCTAGTTTACGAGAGGAAGATAGATAAAAATACACAAGATGGCCAATAATGAAGAAAAAATGAGTAAAAGTGAATGAGCAGAACTTTTTGGCATACCATGAGTTAATAAAAACGTATGATTTCCCTCTCTAAGTACAATACACTGTTCCATTCCACAGAGATAAGAACACTATCAGCTGTTTGTCCGACCAATGGTATTTATGCTATCAAAATTATTTAATAGTATTTGGAGCAGATTCAAAGGCAGAAGTAGTCTCGCAAGGCGCGTACAACATACTTCGTACCCTTTTCTCAACTGAACAGTATATTATGATACTGGATAAGAGCAGAATATGAAGCTTTTCTTTTAAACATCTAAGCCAATGCTCCCTTCAATGTTTAGCAGTAAATAAATTCTTTAGACAAGTAGTACTCCAAATCGTTTGACAATTAAACTGACCAAGTAGGAGGTGTTCGTTTTTATTCTCACCATAACACGAGTGAGTGAACTGTATTACGCAAAACAAGCGATTACTATCCAACTTAAATTAAACGTTTAATAACACATCGAAAAATTTCCTAATATATCTACGGACTCAATCATTCCTGATTTGACTGGAATGTTATCCATCGTTTATAAAGGTGTTAAGACAAAAGCTCAATGTTTGTAGCAACTTCAAGTGCAGTCTAAATTGCGAGTAGCAACTTTGTCCGATTGTTTTAAGACGAGATAAAGTTGTCGCTTTGTGTATAAATTTCCCATACTTATAATCAGAATCTTTTATCGTCGTTGAGACAACCTTCATCTTTATTAACATTTTCAATATGAAGTCCATTGAAGATAAATATACTCGTGAATGAATGATACAGAAATTTAGCATATTTCTTAAAAAGAAGGTTCGAGATTTGGCGGGGTCTTAAACATGAGGATGTAGAAAGCAAGGAGTCAGGTGATTGACACACGGAAAACTGAAGTAAGCTCAAGTCACAAACATTAAGCTGGAGATAATCACCAATGAATCTCCCATCAGTGAGCACCCTAAGTCGAGAGGAATAATCGGTCCAGCTATCCTGTCATCATACTCGAAGTCTAGAGCATCTTAAAAGACAGACCTGGTAACACTGTCTGACTCTGGGTCAGCACCCTACCACTCGCATACTAAGATTATTATAAGTCATTATATTATTTTAGCCACACTTTTTCAACGAAGGCTTTCCACAACTATCATCATTGTAGATGTCTGCGTTTGCATCTCTCAAATTCGCTTTCCTACTCACGAAATCCCCCATCATTAGTCAGATGTATCTATACATTATTTGTGCACAGTATTAGTACATCACGCTATTCACGAGAACATTTCTTCATGTAGCGAGGTATTATTACGCTTAAAACCATGCTTAGCCATTCTTATTAGTGAATCCTCTGCGAAAAACCACTTGCCTGCTGTCATTTTATGTTAACACTGTCCCTGACAACCTTAACTTTTTTGAATAATATCTAAAATGAACAGCGGTAGACCTGACTGACGTATTTTGTTGTTCCGCATTCTATGTCTTTATTTTACTTTCTCTAGTTGTAGACAAGTACTATTAATTTGTTCTGGCACTGTAAATAAGCTTAGATAACAACGTTCGTGAATCAATAGGCTATCCAGTTGAGAATAAGAATTAAAAGTTCCCTGCTGATGCATTGGATTGCTGTAATACATGTTATAAATGTGTTAAATCGGCAATTACTGAACTAGCAAACTTAGAACAATTTTACATAACATATTTGTTCTCTACATCTAATGTTACTAACTGTATCAAATTGATAATGCCTATAAACTGGAGTGAATTCTGTAATCATTATTTTCAGTATTTTATTATAAGTGTCTGAACAGTTATCGACTCTTGGCAGTTAGTTATGCAAGTACGAAGATTGGGTACCTCTGCCGTTGGTGTTTGGTTTCTTCTCTTTGTATTCTTTGACAAGTTAAATTCCATATAACACTCATTTTGAAATCAGTCAACTTGTCCCTTATATTTACTGTGACTGGTATCCTGACTTGACTATTCTATCAGGCAGAGGTACGAAAAAGCAATCTGGACAGTGGAACCGTTTTGAGACATCAACTTCAAGAAGTTTGATAGACACCGACTGGATCGTAATGCAGTCACGCTCAACTCTTGCTTGACCACAGTGACCCAGGTCAATCTGCCGATGTTGAAGACATAAATCCAGTTATGCAATAAACTGTCCTAGTTTAAAGCACCATCGTGCAGCATAAAACTCAACCTTTACCTGCTCCTTATGACGGGATCCATATTTGCCTTAGTATTACTATTGCACAGTAAAGGTTCGGTGAGGGGGTTTTACTACATGTCATAATCTAACATATTAATGAATGTAGTGACCCTTTGCCACTAATGATTCTTCCTACCAGATCTACTAAAGAACATTAGCTGTACAGCAGCCTAGCTAGAATATGGTTTAGTTTAAAATATTTTAAGGCAGCTAGCTAGTTAGAAAGATGAAAGACAGTATGATCCTGTAACATTTTTGAGTCGCCTGGAAAAGTTACGGACTCCAACTTGCTCTCCACACTCGCACGCCCATCGAGGATAGATCACTAATGAATTATCCCATGAAAACCATTCGTTTGGAATAGTGCTATTCGCAAGCTGGTTAGATCATCATACGAAGGAATTTACCAGGTAGATAACTGCACTATTAAAATTCCTCGTCACTAACACGAACGGAAAAGATACACATCCAACTGGTCTCCTAAAACTAACACTTTGATAGATGTAAACATGTATAAAGGATAAGATTGTAGATGTCTAGAAATTTAGGGTAGAAAAGGTGCATACAATAAATAAACTTCCACGAAAACGATATGAGATAACACTTAAAGGGTTCTTATTATTCAAGTGAAACCCAATCCTATCAAATTACCCGAATACATTATTTAAGAAATGATTTTAAAGAGTTTACACAAAAATTTTCATTCTTCATCTAACTCTAAAATTGGTGATGCAGTTAAGTGAACAGCTGAAGAGTTACTATTTGTTATACCATTGGCATCGGTAGTTTCAGTGTGTTTGGGAACAATTTCAGAAGTTTTCTCATAACACTTCGAAATAACTTTGGGACATGATGACTGTGAATGGTTGGATTCGGAATCTGAAATAGGTAATTTTTGAAGATCAGAATCAGAGCGAGAATGTACAGGGATATTAGGTTTTGATTCGTGAAGAGTGAAGGAATCGCGAATTGTACTTGTAGATTCGGTTGAATTAGGATTGTCTTGTTCAGATACCAAGCAATCTGCAGGAAAAAGAGAAAAACAATGACTGTCAGAGTATGAAGAGTTATTAATTAAAATGTTAGCTAGGAAGCTGCGGAAACATTTTTGACCACTAAGATAGTTACATGGTCAAATGAACTTACTGAAATTCTTACCACAGTGGTCAACTTCAGTCAACGAAGACAATGAACCATTTGAAGATATGTGTGTACTAAGTATAGGAGTATTGACATCAACACTTATTTTAGAAGGTGTACTTTTGACATTGTCCGATTGTTTTGAATTCCCACCACTTCCACGATGACGGCGAGCATTACGTTTGCGGAGGTTTTTCCTGTGAAACAAATTATCGATAAAAAAGTATCATCCTTCATAATGAATGGTCTATTAAAGTACGAACACATTATAAATGTTTGAAGTTATCATAATGAAAACCATCACAACATAGATAAATGAAAAATATTGCTTTCAAATAGACTGTTATATCGGACTTTACTTTAATACACAGTAATATTTACTTCCATATATGAAAGCTACTAAAACCAATCAAATCAGTTTATTGGTCAATGATAACAATTAAATAGATAACATGACTAAATACAGAAAGTAGAAAGTATGGACTGACAGACGTACTGGAAGCGATAGAAATGATAAAACAAGGTCTCAATATAAGAAGTGCGTCAGAAAATGAGAGGACGGGCATTACAGAAACGATCATTGAAATCATGTAAAAAGTGCGCGGAAGATCTGAGAGTGGAGAATATATACAAAAGGAGGTGAAGGAAAACGAACAAGGGATGAGGAAAATTAGTAAAACCGTTTGTCCAGTCATATCCGATCGAGGAAGAGACAAGAATGGTACACATAGACTACATTCACAGACTTGAGTCCTCATAGATTCTGCCATATGTAGGAGGCCAGGTCGAACCGCGTTAGGAAGTGACGAAGGTATATGGTTAGTCAATTAAAATGACCTGATTCTCTCTGCCGAATGAGAACTTCCAATCAAGCCTGAGGAAACAGAGTTATGTTATGTCTTTGACCCTTTCCAAACGAAACAAAGAGATGGCCACCTATTCGTTGATTAAGCCGTTTGGTGGCATACCTACTATATTTATTCCTACAGGAGCAGCAAAATTTGTAAACAGACACAGATGCCAGATAAGGTAACCTATTCTTCGTTTAAACTGACATAGGAATCATTGAAGCTTGGAGTTGTTGAAACTTAATGAGGATGGTTTAAAACGTGTTTGTGGTACATTACTGACTTTTGGACATTTACAAAAACAACTTCGCTAATCCCCACAAATATTACCAGTTGCACATAACAATTTATACACAGACTAATTGATTATATTATTAAGTTTGGGGTCACATTTACTTATATACTTTGTATTAATGATACAAAGCTATATGCTACACATTATTGCTCAGAATTGTAGAAATAAAAAGGAAGAAAATAAAAAAACACTAGAAAACAAGAATGAATATACTGACAAGTAGCAAAAAGTGTATGTCAGATTAGATGAATTCGATTATAACCAAGTAGACCAAAATCAAATATAAATACATTCATTAAACATTTTTATTAAACCACTCTCGTAGTAACTAAATTAGTGATATAATTTCTGTTACATTTTGGGATAGTATCCTAGCAATATTTAAAAAAACACCTGATAGCCTGACGTCTGTTTCGATTAAGAAACGTTTAAACAACAAAAAGATAGTGACAAGTCTCACGAAATTTCACGTGGATTTCAACTAAGAATCACATATTTTTCTTAAAAAGCGGAAAGACAACTAACTAGGCAGTTTAAAGTTCATGTATAAGATTTTAATTTGGACATTCCATCTAAGGAGTACAAAATACTAACCACGATGCCCCACAAATTTATTGCTTATATTCAATCGGTTGTAACAAGCAGATGGACGCAATTATTGTCTAACATTTATGAAGATTGCCCTGTCACTCAGCAAGAAACAAATGGAATAAGTTCAAAACTTCTACTCAATGATTCATGATAGTCTCTAAATTCCTAGTCTGTCTTCACGCAAAACAGTAATCAGTTTACTAATAAACTTCAGTTACAGACAAACAACGAATAATAATTAAAATTCACGTCAAAATTATACTTACCGTAAATTACACAATGTATGATGCAGTGTTTCTACTGTATCCCTAGGAGAGAAGTCTACATGTTGATCACGCTGACAGAAACTCACTGATCTTACTCGTTGTCTGAATATAGGCAAATGAGGATGACATTGGCTCATTGTTCCTGACAATTTATCACTAGATATACATCGTCGAAAATCAGATTTCGATAGTTCTGAATCGTGATTTTCATCACTACTTGCAGTAGGAAATTCATCCGATGTTAAAGGATGCTCTCTATTACCAGCTAAACCGGCATCACGTAAAATATTACCTTCTAAAATAGTCATTTCATCTCCGCTAGATTCTAGAAGGTGAATAAATGAAGATATACAACATATAGAATAAAAAATGAAGGTGACATGAATCATATTTTAAAAGCAATAAAATAGTAATATTATTATTATTAGTGAAGTAGCAAACCTGTACTTTCAGGCAACAAGTATACGGTTTTAACAATGGTGAAAAGGTTCCGACCGTTGCTGCTGCCTTGACGTGATGGTCGGGCTTGCCTATCGTGATGAACCAATCGAACTACATTGGCGGGAACAATCATTCCTCAAGATCTTACAATGCCAGACAGATCGGTTGAAGAGTGGTAAGACTAAAAGCAGCAAACCCAAGATCCAAAGGTAAAGTCGTACAGCTGACTGTACAGAGGTGGGACGGCAGTAAGGTGTTTCCTTTAGACAACCAGCATAACAGCAATGCTGCCATCCTACGAGGAGGAGTGGGGTTAGAAAAAGTCGAGCCTAAAAATGCAAACCTCTCCTTATCCCTTGAATATGCGTCTCCGGTGGTAAGGTCTCAACAAGTACAGAGCTAACACGAACATTACTAGCAAAAAAGTCGCACGTAACCGACCTCAAGCAGTTGTCCCTTGGGTACTGCAGCCACGCTCTCAGGTCACTAAGACCACCTTTAATCCGATTTCATTTTCAGGTACCTCCAGAAGAACCTCTACAAGGTGTGGGCAACCGGGAAATGATAACCGACCTCATACCCCTAACACCACATAAGATCACTGTATTCATAATAAATTTTCCTCTTCAATTCCTATTACTCTTCCCACCTCGACTATTAACACTAAAGTTCATCTTTCGGATTCCTCCTCAAGCGTCACCTTAGCCAACGATACTAGTGAGCAAAACACTGTTCCAGGTCTATTGAAACCTCGCTCCAAACTACACATTTGAGCCTTCAACGTACGCACTTTATGCCAAATAGGCCTCTTTGGCTAAGACTTTAGAATCTCGTACCATTGATGTATACTTTGTCTCCGAAACACACACAGGATCCTAGTGTTGTCATTTACTTGACCTCACCTCCCCGAAATAAAGGCGACGAGATACACTTTGAGTGTATTTGGCGACCCTATGGCCAGTTCTCGTAAACTTGCAGGTGTAGGCATAACACTTATTACGAGGGTAGAACAAGCACTATTAGAGTAGATCACCGTTAACAGTCGCTTATATGCTGTCCTGCTAAACGGTTCTGTATGAACTCGGAAGGATAGAGACACACGTCACTACCTTTCCGTCGTTTTGCCTACGCTCTCATTGACTGCATCCCAGTTAAAGTGAAAGATGACTTTTACAAAAATCTAGACGCTAAGTAATAGTACTCGTAGCAGGTGACTTTAATGCCAGAATAGGTAGCTTAAACCAATCAGAAAGATATTTAGGTGAGTATTTTAGTATTCCGACTCAGCGAACAGGTAATGGTGATCGTCTGTTGCAACTAGGCTCAGACAATCGTTTAGTTTTAGAAAACCCTAATTTTAAGCATAAGTAGAGACGTCGTGTTGTTTACGAAATTCAGAAAACAAAAAGCAAATGTCTGTCACCTTAACCGAGTTGGCGGGTACAGAGTATCCATCTAGGGAAGTTCAAAAACCCTGATTCCAAACAAATGGTGCACATTGGCTCCACGATCATGAGGAAATAAAAGGAGTACGGACCTATTGTTGATTACCTGCTACGATGGACTGCATCTTGTGACGTTGCTCCAAAGGCTCGGGAAGCGACACTTTAAGAGAAACACCTGCTTCTGATTGGGCACCAGAACAGTATTCCGGCCCTCACACAAATCAAACGATACGTGTGGCGCATATATATTCGGCACCTCCTAGCGTCAAATTTTTATATGTTTAAATAAATAAATAGTATGAATATTATTACGCAATATTAGAAAACCACGAAATTGCTTCCTAGTGGTTACTTTAAATAATAGTTTTATTTTATGAATATTCAGTAGAAATGATTGTATAGATTTCGGTAGTCAATATTCGACAAGAATACCATGACAGTATTACGAATTGGGAAATGTTAAATGTCGAATCACGACTAAATAGTCTCAAAATAACGTGCTTACTGTGAAATATGAAACTCTTTAGTTTGATCTGTGACTTCATGGGTGTACAATGTGAAAGTGATGACACAAACGCTCAGTACTCGTTAATTCTCAATGATCATTCGGCCGATATAAGTTCATGATGGAAATGGTGGCTGAATTGAATAAAACTAAACACAATACAAACAAAGGAATCCCTAAGTTTAACATTAAGGCAAGCCATTTTAAATCCGATAAAATTCCATGAAATATTTATAACTATCTATAACCATACATATGGAATTCACACGATAAGCTGCAAATAATAAACACATCAAACAATAATAACACAACAAGAATATAAACTTATGTTATTTACCTGATATTGAACGTTGTTTCAAAATACTCTTTAATACTAGTCCTGGATTACCAGGAGTTGAATTATACCTGAGACGTCTGACACTGTAATTATTATTATCATTTTCGTTAGTTACATGTAATTTATTAGAATGTTGGTTTATTAAATTTGATTGATGATTAGACATAAAACAAGAGTCATTTGTCTTCATGAGATTATGATTGAAGTCGATGTTCGAACCTATAAATTCAACAGTAGGATCCCATTCTATGGAACAACATTTATCTGACAATGAGGTAACGTTTACGGACTTTAAACATTGTTGATTCGATGTACAGCATTTATGAAGTAACTGACTATTGATTGAAGATACTTTATTGGTTAGTTGAGTAGAGGAGAAAACACCATCATGATAACAATTATCAGAAGTTCCATTAACATCGGTAGATAGAAAACTATTCTGTCTACAATGTGGTGTGAACGATTCCATTCCAATGAATGAACACTCCTAATTATGTAGGTTAATACAGAATGCCAGCGATAATAATGAAGTTAAAATACAGATTACTGTAAATTATAAGGTAAAATCCTTCCAAGTTTCAACTTAATGAGTTTTAATCTATAAAAATCAAATCCTCGGTGTATTTTAAGTTAATAATAAGAGTGATAGGTACCAGGTAGTTCAGTTTTGATACAGTTAAGTGAAATACAGAATGTTGAAGAACTTCTTTATGCTTTTAGAACCAATGATACACTTGAAATGAAAGTTAACTTCCAAGCCAAGCAATACAGTTAGTAGGGGATTGAAGATGTTTTCATCTTATTCTTTTCATATATGGTTGATCAGAATTAATTTTATGTAATTTTGTCTCGTAAGATCACTTCAATTTAGCATTCTAAACGAAATCACAATTATTGCCCGAACATTCAACTAAGTATAAGACTATGAGTATGAGTACAGACTTAATAACTTTCGCTTGAAGAGTATAAAGCACTTACTACAGTAACTAACATCAATCACCGATTCACATAATTAAACTATGTATATGCATCAACATGTTGTTAAGTACAACTTATACCAAAGTATTTTTCTAAAATAAGCACTATTTTTAATAAACTGTTATAGATCAACGAGTAGAAAAATTGTATTTCTGACGTTTCGTGACTTGAAGTAAGCCACTTCTTCAAAGTAAATAAATGACAAAAAAATATATTATAAACCTTCTACCAAATGCTCAATTTCTTTGAAACCATCAAGTCCAACCTTGGAATTGGTACCTACAAACTGACATAGAGTTTGTTACAACCGGACGAGTACCGGAAAAAGTGGAACTTTTGGAAATATTTTTTAGGTTATAATCATGTTTTTATCGTACAGCTAAAAGATACCTATATTACTGTATTTCTATGCTCTCTTTATTGTAAGCTTCTAGTGGACCTATTAACTATCGTTATACATTTTACTATTCATCAATTATTGTCAATTAGTTGCGTACTGTTTGTTTTGCTCTCTACTACTTACAACATGGTTGTGTTTAAAGCATGATTATTTCTCTAGTGTAATTCTGTTATATCCCCTGGTGAATCATGAATGGTAAATCTGAGGTCTATTATGGACAAAGGTAATATGCCTAATTCCTATTGTTTAGTTGTTAAATAACTGACCTAATTGTATTCGTGTTCCTCTTACCGTAACCTTATTTTGACCTTTGAACTATTATTATTGATTACTTTCCCCCTATCCATAGCCACATTGGCCAATTATTGTACAAATATTATTTTTCTATTTTTTGGTATATGGGGTCTGTTTGGTTAGTATATAAACCCAGTATGCTTGTGAATAATGATTCATATTTCCGAGGCTGTTATTTGTGTTCTGGACTCAACTGGCTGGGCTAGGCAGTTAGGAAGGACCGAATAGCAATCAAGACTGCTCGTACGTATTTTCCGTATCATTGCACGTTTCATATACAATAACGATTGTTATACGTTTATAACAATTGGCGACGGGGACAAAAGTGAAAAATGACGCTCCCTTCTGACCGCTTACAGTTGCTATTTGACCGACATTTGGAGTTCATGGTCAAACTACGCACACAGTTTCTGGATCATCAATGCTTCACATATGCGTCAGAAGTGGATGTATTAATCTCTGAATTGCACACAGAGCTAGCAAATGATCGCAGCCCCCATGATTCCTCGACCAGCCGCAACTCAAACGAAACAGCAGTCTCTCAAGAGACGCCCGGTTGTCCAGCACTCTCCATTTCAGAAACGTGCCCGGTAGTGGATTCAAACACCACTATCCCTGAATTAGCAGGTCCTAACAATGACGCTTTCAGCTCTCATCAATACGATGCTATGTTAAAAGCCCATAAAATGGTCGCACCAATCGCCCACAGAGTACCAGAGATCATATCAAGCGGTTCAACGAGCGAATCTCATTCTGCAATAGAAATGTCTACCGAATCTAGTGATAAAGATTCCCAAGCTTGTCCAAAAATTTTGTTACATGCATCAAATCTGGAACCTAGCGCAGTTTTGGTGGACGCTGTTTATCATACTGATCCACAACCTGCCATTGATGTTTGCAATAAGTCTGATGACTACATTTCTGCAGAATCAAATTCTGACCTCACATCAAATGTCGATCCTCACCATCCAGTCAATCTTAACGGGTTCCCTATTGAATACCAGAAACATGTTATAACTAGAATCGCATTAATAGAAACTTGGGTATATGAGGATCCAACACTATTTCGTGGGGGAGGAGGAGCTCGAAAAAAAAAATTAAAATCCGGATATCAACTCCGGATTTCTCAAAAAGGGGAGGTGTTATATCCCCTGGTGAATCATGAATGGTAAATCTGAGGTCTATTATGGACAAAGGTAATATGCCTAATTCCTATTGTTTAGTTGTTAAATAACTGACCTAATTGTATTCGTGTTCCTCTTACCGTAACCTTATTTTGACCTTTGAACTATTATTATTGATTACTTTCCCCCTATCCATAGCCACATTGGCCAATTATTGTACAAATATTATTTTTCTATTTTTTGGTATATGGGGTCTGTTTGGTTAGTATATAAACCCAGTATGCTTGTGAATAATGATTCATATTTCCGAGGCTGTTATTTGTGTTCTGGACTCAACTGGCTGGGCAAGGCAGTTAGGAAGGACCGAATAGCAATCAAGACTGCTCGTACGTATTTTCCGTATCATTGCACGTTTCATATACAATAACGATTGTTATACGTTTATAACAAATTCCGCTTGTTGCCCTTTCGGGGGCTATTGCCGGTCCCAAGCCCGGATAAAGGAGAAGAGTTGGGCATCAAGTTAGCGACTCCATACCGTAGCAAACTAACTCGCTAAAAAACGCTAACCAGAAAAAATTATTCAAACCATTTAAATTCTGCCCTGGGAGTTGAAGGAAGAATTCTGACGCCTCATGATGAAAGCAGAAACCCTTCGGAAGTCACGAGGCCGATGCACCTTCTAACAACTAGAGCAACCATTTATCTAGGTACATGGAATGTCCGCACAATGTGGGAAACCGGGAGAATCTTCCAAATAGCTGCAGAAATGAGGAAATACAACCTGGAGGTGCTTGGGATCAGTGAAACATTGGACGCAGGTTGAACAACAAAGACTAGCTACAAGGGAGCTCCTGTTATACTACGGCCATGAAGAAGAAAATGCCCCACATACACAAGGAGTTGCATTGATGCTGTCCAAACAAGCATAAAATGCACTTATAGGATGGGAATCGCATAGACCAAGGATCATCAAAGCCTCCTTCAAAACAAACAAAGAAAGAGGGCATTACAATGAACGTCATTAAATGCTATGCACTTACCAATGACTATAACGAAAACGTTAAAGATCAATTCTACGACAGGCTGAAGTCAGTTGCTGAGAAGTGCCCAACAAAGGACCTGACCATTCTGATGGGAGATTTAAATGCCAAGGTTGGAATGGACAACGTCAGATATGAAGAAATCATAGGAAGAAATGGACTGGGTGAAAGGGACGATATGGTGAGAGGTTTGCAAACCTATGTGCCTTCAATAAACTGGTCATAGGCGGCACTATATTCCCACACAAATGCATTCACAAAATCACATGGACTTCACCGGACCACAGTACACAGAACCAAAGCGACCATATCTGCATCAGTAAAAAGTTTAGGGGGACTATGGAAGATGTGAGAACTGAAGAAGAGCTGATATACCATCAGATCATCACTTGCTGGTCGCCAAGATGAAATCAAAACTTAAAAAGCACTAGACAACGGGACAGACAACATCACGAAAGTTTAATACGGCTTTTCTTCGGGATACTGACAAACTCAAGAAATTCAAGATAGCCCTCAACAATAAGTTCCAGGCCTTTCATGATCTACTCAAAGGAGAGGGAACTACCATGGAGAGCAACTGGAAGTGGATAAAAGGGACAATCGATTCAACATGTCAGGAGGTTCTGGGCCACAAGAATCGCTATCACAAGAAATGGATCACTGTCGATACACTGGATAGGATTGAAGAAAGGAGGAACAAGAAGACAGAAATCAATACCAGCCGAACAAGAGCAGAAAAAGACAAGGCACACACCGAATACACAGAAGCAAACAAGCAAGTGAAGAGGGGCATCAGAACCGACAAACGTAAATATGTTGAAGATTTAGCAATGACAGCGGAAAAGGCTGCAAGAGAGGGAAACATGAGACAACTGTATGATACAACAAAGAAACTTGCTGGAAACTACCGTAAACCAGAACGACCAGTGAAAAGCAAGGAATGTAATGTCATCACCAACATTGAGGAACAACGGAACAGGTGAGTAGAACACTTCAAAGAACTCTTGAATCGATCAGCTCCGCTGAACCCACCCAACATCGAAGCAACACCCACGGACCTCCTATTTATTTATTTATTTATTTAAACACATATATATTGGTACAAAAGGGCACCAGGTACATATGCGCCACACAAAATAATGAAAGTAGGTAGATAAAGGGTGAAAAGATAAGGCGGGCTGAAATGTACAACCAGAAGATTCTTTCAGTTAGGAAAGTTAGAACCATTCTTTATGTAGAAAGTAAAAGAAGGTTGCAGCAGGATCGCCACTGGCTTCTATTGTGAGCCATATCCGATAACGTCTCTAGCCACTGTGTCGCACTATCTCTCGAACCCCAACCAGGGAGTCGTGAAGGACCAACGGAAGCTAGCCCTTTGCAGCTCTCTTTCATGCCACGACACCATGTCATACACTGACCTCCTCTCCGCTTTCTCCAACCAGTCCCAGGGTCGGAAAATAATGCACGACGCGGAAGTCTCTGGGACGACATTCGTAAAACATGTCCGAGCCACCGAAGTCGGTGTTTCAAGATGGTGACACCAATTGAATTATCGTCTCTGCGCCCGAACACACGATGCCGAACCTCTGCATTACTAACATGGTGTTGCCACTGGATGTCAGCAATCCTTCGGAGACAACGATGATCG